TTCAGCGCGTCCGTTATTATACACCCAAATATATATCCTCCGCGGTTGAAAAATTATTATTCATCCTAATGTCTGCAATTATAATTCCCAATGAACCGACTCCGTTTTCTTAATCGTGGCAACCGATCATTTCTGTTGCTTCCCTCTTTTGTTTCTCACGAACGCTACCACGTCGCTCGAGTACCGTTATAATTGCACTCCGCGAGACTACGCGTCCGCGCGGCGATGACTCAGAAAACGGCATTGATCGGCGGCGATCGCGTACGACATACTTAAAATTCCAGAGAAACGTGGCACGAGCGTGGGCAAAAAGTCGCGGGAGAGAAAGAGAAAAGAGGGGAAAGGGGCCAACCAAGGATTAGCTGGGAAGAGTAGGGCAGGACAAGCGAAGGGGGACTATGAGGGGGAGCAAGGACGAGATATACTCATCGTTCGCGTCTTTCTTCCTGATCCCTCGCCTCTTCCTCCCTTCAGGAGCCTCATCCATCAGTCACTTAATATTTCAAAGCAGCGCCCTGCGCAACATCCTCCTTCGTGCCTCCCTCGCGCTCCCTCACCCCTCTGATCCGCCAAGATGCGGACGTCGTGAGCCCGTGTCGTCCTTTTTAAAAGCTTAAAACACCAGCGGACCCGCCATCTCCAACACCACCACCACCATCAACACCACTCAGGGCACGAAATAAAGTTTTTAGACTTTGCTAAGGGACATTAGAGAGCGCCGTGTCGCGACGCGCTCCTAACATGACGGCGGCGGTGTGAAAGGGGAGGATGAAGTGATGTCTCGCGTCGATTTCGTGGGGAGAAACCTCGCGGGGCATACAACCCCCCGCCGCGCCCGACCCTCAGCCACCCAACCACCCACCTACCTATCCACCCGACTGCCTGCCGCCGCTCGAAATTCAAATTTCTCGTTTCACGCGACCGAATGGGATTCTTCCCTTCTCCTGTGAGCACCTGCCCTGAGTGTACGCGCCGCAGTCGGAGTCGAGATCGATTCGCTCCGTGTCTCGCGAGGTGGGAGGAGTGCGCAGGGGACGACGGTGCTCGCGAAGATAAAAGCCGTTGTTGTTTCTTTTCCCTTATCGCCCGGCGGGTGAGACGCGACCGGATTGCCCGGACTGATTCGTGGAGCATGAGCCCGATCGAGGAATGTAATTTCAAGTGTGTATCCAGATAAATCTTCATGATCGCCACGATGAGACAATCGATAAATGAAACTACAATCTTTTTTTATTACATTTATGAAGCAAATGGTACTATATTGAATTAACCATTACATTTACATTGTAAAATAATGTAAATTTTCTAGAGTATTGATGCAGCAAGATACTTATCGAAAGTTATATTCAGACTTGCATATTAAAATTTACATGACATATTGTTTTAAGCAAATTTTGATCATTCCTCTTAGTATTTCTATTTCGCCATTTTACGTGCTAAATGTCAGTGTGATATAAGCCATTCATAAGGGATGCAACCTTTACAAATCGACTAGTAAAGTTGCTGTCAAAATTACGTAGTCTTGTCAATTTAGGTATGTTCATACCTGCAATGTGGAGAAAGTTGCTCTTGAAAAGCGTGTCATTGCACTCGGAGAGTAGCGAAATTTTCGAGGGTGTCTTTGAAAAATAAAAAAAGAAGGGAAGACATATTGAGAGAGAGAGAGAGAGAGAGAGAGAGAGAGGGGAGAAAGAGAGAGAGAGAGAGGGGAAGAGAGAGGGAAGGAGAAATAAAGAGGGAGGGAGAGAGAGAAATTTCTGGGAACAACCGCAAAAAGGAAATTCTAGAAAATTATTATAGAAGAAATAAAACTCTCGATAGTTGTTCTCACAGAGTAAAATGTCCGGGAGTGACTGTTCGAGGGGAGAACGACGGTAGCACTCGGGAGTAAACTCGCCGATGTTTACTTTCAGAAAAAGTCACACGTTCGATTCTCAACTCCGGTCCGTTGTGTTCCTGCTGCTTTTAACGAGTGTCTCGAAATTGATCTCTGCCCGCGCCGGAGGCTCCCGCGGGGAACACGCGGGCGATTCGCTGTGTGACCAGTCGGCCTGTTTCCTGTGTACTCATGCCTGCCATTATATCGACATCGTAGATCGACGTAGATTGCGAGCCGTGCATTTTTCTCCTCGCCTCGATCGTCGTGAAGCACCGCGAAGATCGTGACCGCCGCGAGTTAAATCGGCGTGGCGACTTCTCCGCCGTAATTATAAATAGGATAGGAAAGCGCGCGGCGAGAGAGAGAGAGAGAGAGAGAGAGAGAGAGAGAGAGAGAGAGAGAGAGAGAGAGAGAGAGAGAGAGAAAGAGAGAGAGAGAGAGAGAAAGAGAGAGAGAGAGAGAAAGAGGACCCGAAGTGGACGTGGACAGTGCCCGAAGCGGCCCCGAGGATGTTTCAGGAATATCGAGGACGTAATTATCCCCGTAATTACCGAGCGCGGTCTTGACTCTTGAGCAGCTACGTCTCGGCCCTCGGCAGTGGGGGTAGTCAGTGGTTGGCCTTGTGCGGTAATTGTACTAATTATTACTGCCCTTCTCCCCCTCTTGTCCCTTCCCCCTTCTCCTCCTCCTCCTCGCACCGCCGGTTTCCTCCCCTCGGCCGCCCAATTACCCCTGGTGGCCCGCGAGAGAACCCGGACTCGCGGAGATTTCAGAACCTCGTTTCTCGGAAAAAAATCTTTGTTAGCGCCCGAGAAAGATGGAGAGAAAGAGAGAACGCCCGTGGGCCGTCGTAAAATTGACGGTGGGAGGTTTCTGGGAAATCGTAATTAATTTACGGCCGCATAAATTAGGGATAATCGGCAGGGAACTAGGCATGCAAGTGCAAACTGAGAACCGGTGTGCAGTCGCGAGCTAAATTATTCGCGGTGGCATGATAGATTTCGAAGAGCAAAAGGTAAATGGAAGCCATCATGTAGAAAAACGTGGATAACGACTTTCTATAAGTTAAATTAATAGTCCTCGATATGAAATTTAGACATCAAAGTTGTTTTCATTTCAAGTCCATTTCAAATTAATTTGATTAAAATATATTTTAATTAGATACGCAAAAATTGTTCCAAGGATAAAAAGAGTAAGAATAAAAAATATATAAATTTAATTAATAGCCATCGAAATAAAATTTAACCATCAAAGTTGTTTTGTTCATTTCAGATTAATTCCACGAAAAAATACACTTTGATCTTAATGTGCAAAAGTTATTCTAAAGATCAAGGAAGAGAGAATAAAAATATATAAAATAATGTAAGCTAAGATTTAATTTTGTTTAGTTAATTTGTAAGTAGACGCGTGGGAGTTAAACTATTAAAGACATATAAACGAACATTTCCTCAAATCATTAAAAAAATATTTCTTAAGTGTAGACTTCAACTTGTGATGCTTAAAAATTATTTCATATTCAAAACATATCTTAGTTTATAATTACCTAAAAATATAAGCTTTTACATCCAAAAAAGTTACGCGCCTACTTAAGGATTAAATAACAGTGTGAGTTAACGACCATCCCCAAGCATCTATAATTTCATAAGTATGCACTTAATGCACTGCATCTCGTGTATTCCATTATCGCGATTATGAATAAAATAACCTAATCGCACGAGCTTGCAATCAGTTAGGTATATTTAAGCTCTTCAGTGATAATTTAAAATAATTGCGCGATTCCTCTATGGCGGGGTTTTTTTATTCAGGTTTCTTTTCCCTTTATTGCTATTTAAAGCATTTTTAAAAATAGAATACGAAATATATATCTAACGTGTATGTGGTATTAGTTAAAAAAATATAATAGTTTAGAATTTGATATTTTATCAAAAAACTTTTTCGCGAACATACTATACACAAGGGGTTAAATCAAATAAATATATTAAATATATTCGCATCAATTTTGTACCAATTAATCCCTTATATTGACCAATCTCAAGCAACATCAATTTCATATGAGCTATATGCAAGAACAATAAACGCATTTATTTAACACTATTGCTTTGGAGCAATATCTGGTCAATACCTCTGGAGCAATACCTGTTCTGCTTGTCGGTGTCACAATAGTTTCGATTTTTCCATTAAATGAAAAAAAATCGGTAAAAAAATCTCTTTTTAAAATGGCATTTTGAAAACAATATAATACTGCACTCATCGTTTATTTCATTTAAATGTTCAAAACTTTCCTTCAAAACGTTCAAATTTTTTTCCTTAAATTTTTTGAGTCTACTAAATACAAGATTAATAAGATAAATGTCCTAATGCCCTTATAAGAAAGCACGATCAGCTTTACATTTAATTAATAAATAATTAATAGAATTATTAACAAAACTAATGTTTATATAAAACATTGATTTGTTAGCGATCTAAGAATAATGAAATAATATAACCAATAAATATCGATTAATTTTAATGACATATTAGATAATATATATGTATATGTATATCAATAATGTATATGTATATGTATATCAATAATTGAACTAAAAAATAAATCATATCCCAATTACCAAATAATATAGACTCCATAATCGAATATTCATTAAATAACATTGCTGATTGACATAAGGAAATATCTACGGACAAAATTTCAAAGACTTTTTTTTTTATAAAAATGTTAAATATAAATATATTATTAGTGTTTCTATTATCGGGATATGTTCAATTGCTGGGACATCTACCTTAAATACATTTAGAAAATCGCGATGTACCGTATCGGCCAATGTACGGCCCTGAGATCGTTGGTGACCTCAAGCGGCGGCACGGCGAGTGACGTCATGCGCACGACGCAAGATAAGCACAGTACTCGAGCTATTGCAGCGGAGCGGACGACACAGACAATGGAACGACACACTTGTCAGGACACATGCTGGCATCGCCGAACGATGCGCTCTGTGTCCTCCAATAAAAACAAACAATTTATTACACGATTCACCCCGTGCCGCCACACGTTCGGCACATACACACACACATACACCCCGCATTTCCCAACGAGCTGAATGTGCGAGAACGACCTGTCAAGTACCTCACTCACCCTGCGTTTGTCATAGTCTTCCAGCCACTCATCAGCTTTTTCCTTATCGTACAACGCCCTGGAGAGGCAACCGTGCGGCCGGTAGTTCTGCATGGAGAGATTTGCGATGATGTCGCGGCGCTCCGTCTCGTTGGTGACACAGCAAAGATCTTTACAGACGTGAATGTACTTGGTGTTGGGCTCGTCCGCCGCACCCTCCATATTTGCCGAGAATAGCGCGCCTAACGAACGGACAGTCGGCCAGTTCTAGGCGCGCATCGTTGAACACACGGCGCGCTTTCCCGTCACAGGAATCACGACGAGAGGATCGGCCGATCGCGACCGCGCCGTCGCTCGCTGATTCACAGTCGAGCACCAAACGTCTCGTCCGCGTAAACACTCCACTCAACACGTGGCCATATTGCGACACTGGCGCAGCGCGCGGCGGGCGCTCGAAGCTCGTCGACGTGCCGGCAACTAACCGACCGGCAGTCGATGGATATCCTACTCTATAATTACCGAAGCGCGCTTGTGATGATGTCACGATATTTAGAATCTCAACATGGAGATCAGTGACGGCGAAACGGCTGTTCCTTCAATTAGGCGGGATTAGATGTTTCAAGGTGAGAGTATCTGCGTGCCTACATCGTTAAACATGATCGCGCGTGTGAATATAAGCACGAAAAAAACAACTCCGTTAGTGTAGCTGAATTTCCTGTTACTTGGGGACCAGATAAAGAACTCGATTGCAGGAACAGAAAGATTTCTCTCTCTGTAGGAAGTTTTTGCTCATCAGTCAGTTACTCTCATAATCCCTATCTCAACCGGGTTTAAATATAGCTGAATGTTCAGGTGATAAAACTTATGTTTTCGGTCATAGTAACAGAGATATAATTTCTCGTCAACGAGTTTTTTGTCTGGTCCTTATTCAGTTACCTGAACTGTAATTTCTTATCAAAGAAAGAGTTCGATTTAATGTAGTAAGAAAATTAAAGTTTCTTTCTAATCTAATATTCTCTTAATTAAAACATTAAATTCATTAGGAAACAAAATGTATTTTGAATGCATTAAATGCTGAATATATATCAAATATATAGTCCTGTCGAGTAAACAGCTCATATACGTGTACATAAATAAACAAAGATTTGATTTGATTAACTGAATGTCTGGTGAAATATAAATGAACTAGAATTTTGGTTAAAGTTGCCAGAATTTTGCTCAAGTTAACAAGATTCTGGTTAATCATAAATTTTGTTTGTTTGGTTTTGTTGATCAAAATTACTTTTGTCACACACAATAATATATTATACAATTTTATAGAAAAGTTTACTCTAAAATTAATATCAAATGACACTAGAAGTATCTTCCTTCTAGTTGAATTAGTACACACTTTTGGAATTTAAAAAGAAACAAGTATATATCCATGACTTGGTGCTAAAACGAGAGAAAAACTAATGCAAATTTCTTTCTGCTTTTGTAACTATAATCATGTAGAGAAATAATTACTATAAATTATGGTTAAAACAATCATTTTTTAGTCAATTGCACTATAATTTTAGTGATAATAATAAACCTTATATGCATATTGCTACTACTATCTTCGTGTTGGTATTAAATTGGGACCAACTATATTTTTTGGTTGTTCCAACACGAAGATAGTAGTAGTAACATGCATATAAGCTTATTATCACTAAAATTATAGTGTAATTGACTAAAAAAGGTTGTCTTGACTATAGTTTATAGTAATTATTTCTCTATATGATTATAGCTACAAATATCAAACATTTTTCTCTCAGTGTAGTGATCTATCCAGTGAATTAAGCTTGTTACAGTACATTGGTCAGTATACATGAAATCGTACCTCGCGTTAACTTTACTAATAACGCGTCATTTAACTTAATTCATTCGCGATGGAGAATGTTAATAAAACATCTCATGTCTCAAGACATTTGGAAAATTATTCAGCTACTTTCAAGTCAGATTTTTCTCTATTTTAATCATAACGCTTTTCCGATTTTCATAAAATACTCTTCGGTGAGAGAAATTATATTATAAAATAAATATTTTGCGATATCACTTGCAGCAACAACATAATCCTTGTGCCAATTCGATCCCGTTAGGATTAGGTCTTCCCTTATGGGCTGCTGCGTCGTAATACTTCACCTACCGCGAAGTACATAAAATAATAATGGGCCAAGGGCAAAATTTTCACAAAGCACACGCCGGAAACTATCGCACAAGCGCGGCTTACATATCTCCCGTATTTTTTATCGGCCAACGTCCTCCCCCGGAGGAAGTTACCGCGGATGGGCATAAAACTTTTAGGCGGGATAAATATGGCGCAGGGAGAGTTCTCGGCGCACCGGTGCGCGCCGGATGAATATTTTAGACGCCACATTGACGCATCGCGCGCGATTTGCTCTCTCGTTCTTACCTTCTTCTTCTCGCCTGCTTGCGCTCGCCTTCGTGCTCGCGCTCGCGCGCGCGCGCCCTGATAATTCATTAATTTATGATAAGCTCGGCCGCCGCCCACGGGCCACGTCCTCCCCCTCCACACGCCATAAATCATTTTCGAGTCTGACATTAATTGCGCGCCACCCCTCGTTACCGGGAGAAATGAGATTTTTTTAATTGGCGAATTTTTCACCGCCGCTGACACCCTACCACCCGCTCCCGGATGCTCCACGGTCCTCCTCGGCACCTCGTAACGCGTACCGGCCGAGAGAAAGCGCCGCGCGAGATATAGGGGGATGCATAATGGCTTTCTTAAATTTGACAATGATACGTCGGGAAAGGTGCTCTTTGTTCCGCGAGCGGACGCGTATGTTCCGAAACGACCGTAAAAGAAAGAAAAAAATAATAATATACGCTTGACGTTGATTTCCCGCGAGATACATTCTTTTTTTACATTAACTCATTCAACACGAATTGACTTGGTTAATTTCCTGAGCAAGCTAACAATGATTTCTTCTGGAGAACGTCTGAAATTATTTTTGCGAATTTAAAATAGAGAACAGAGGAAATTTTATAAATGCCTGACCATGCACTAAAAATTTGCATAAAATTGCAATAAAATTATGTATGTAATGTATATACAAAAAAATATTATTCTACACTGTGAAAAAAAGTATCTAAGAAACAGTAAATATTTATATTCGGTGAGAGAGTGTGTATACAGCATATTTATTTATATTAATACTAAATATTTTTCAAATAAGGAAACATTTTCTTAAAACTTTAAGAAAACTGCACTTTTTCATGAAAGTAATTATTTATTTTATTTAAATAAAAAAATTTAGATTAAACTGAATATGATATTGACATCTACCAAATAAATATTTACTAATGTTTTAATTCTTTTTTTCTCAATGTATTGTTAAAGAAAGCGATTATTTAGTTTACTTTTCTTCTTTTAATGGTTACATTTAACAAAAAATATTTTTTTATAATAGTTTGAGAATATATTTATCACAAATTTGAGAAAAGCTCATTTTATCATGTACTCAAAAGAATTTATTCTTCTTCTAAGAATATTGTCAGACTGTATCGAAGAAAAAGTTAGTTCGACTCTACATAGTATATTGACAGATAAAATATTTAAAAAATAAAAATATTAAAAAATAATATTTACTCAATGAGTACTAATAACGTAAATGAGTACTAATAATGTAAATTAACTTAAATCTCTAAACTCTTTTTTATTTAAATAAAATAAATAATTATTTCTATGAAAAATAAAGGTTTTAAGTAAAAAAATATATATATTTATTAATATTAATACATGCTATAATATTTTAAATTAGTATAAGTAAATATGTTATAGTATCCACATCGAATAAATATTTCTTAGATATTTTTTATTTCTTAGATATTTTTCTCTCATAGTGTGAGTAAAACAAATTCGTACTTTAATTTAATATTCATGATTAAAATGTTGAAATTAACTAGCATGCAGAATGTATTTTCAATAAATTTGATACTTATGATGAACTTGTAATAGATTTGCGAATATGTATTAACTGAAATGCTTGAAACAAGTCACTTCAATATAGTGTATACTTTTTTACGTTTACGTCCGATTTGAAGGAGAGGTTTATTAATTTTTCTCCCGACCTTGTCGAGAACACATTTGGATGTGTCCTTACGATCTCGTACATCTAAATGTGCGGCACATTTGGCTTGGGGAGAAAGCACCACATTTCATTGCTTTGTGGCACATTCCTGCGTCACGATTCTCTGATCGAGGTGCAGGGAATTCCAGCGCGCAGTAGACAATCAAGAATTAGGATATCTTGTTAACAGCCGGGTTATTAAGTCGTTTTCTCCAAGTCGAAAAGCTGATGTCACTGCTGGAGACATCCTTGCCGATTGCGGTCACACATTAGAAATTTCTGCGCGCACGTAAAGTAGAAATCGCATTAACAAGCGGCGAGTCAAAGGCACTTCCGCGAAGTCTTGTCTCATCGAAGCATCGCGGACATTCTTGCCTACGTCCGGCTTCCTTCGGAAGAGCCTTAACTCGATAAGTTCCCTCGGTACCTGAAGTGAGCTCATAATCGTGAACGAAGCGCGCAACCGCTTATTACAAGCGAGGGCATTGTAAATTTGCAGGGAAGAAGCAGAGAAGCGCAGAAGTGAGAGAGCGGACGCGGGCGAAAGCGAAACAGAGAAGGAGAGAATGACAGACAGAAAGAGAGAGAAAGACAGAGCAGTTAGAGAGGAGCAACTGAGATAGGACGACGGGTATGTCAAACGAGATAGTAAGAGAGAAAGATGCTGAGAGAGAGCGAGGGAGACTGAGACGAAGGGGAGGAGGCAAGCTAAGGGAAGAAACAAGATGAGGGAGGCAAAGAGGAGCCGAAAGGACAAAGCGGCGCAAAACGTGCCCCTCAGGCATCTAAAGTCTTCCTTCAGCGTTGAAAATTTATCGTTCTACAAGCGCCGGCGAGCAGAAAAATAGCGGGGGGTGGTGAGAAGGTGGAGAGGGGGATTGGGGTAGAAAAGGGAAGCGAGTGTCGAGGAGACGGGCACGCTTTGTTCCATTTATCCAGACAAATCCAGATTTCGCCGCAAAGCTGGTATTTAAGATAATGAGGACATTTTGTCCTTTTTCTTTCAAAGACGTGCCGCGCGCGCATAATTAACGATACGCATGTGGGAAACGCTAATTAGCCCCCGACGCGGAGGTGCAAGCCGTTATTAAAGCGGACGCGCGTGTGAGTAAACGCATGTGTGTACAGGCTCGATGAGACTTATCGTGCCCGTAATTACGCGCTTCGGACTCGCGTCTTGTGTGCGCTTACGTACGCGCGAGTCGACACCAGGGCGATACCTCGAAAGCGGTGAAACGACTTGAATTCCGGGTGGGCATCGGGGAATAATTTAATTATGCGCGGATAACGATAGCGAAGTGACGCGACGATAATTTGACGTTTAAAAGCAGGCTCTCGAGCAACGTGTATCTCGGCCTGAGAGAAGTGTTCCTTCTCTCAGGCATATCCGTCGCGAGTGAATCTTTCCTGGCGAGGACGCGACCTTATCTCACGCCCGTTGAGGTAGAGTTTGACGTTCGGTTACGTTAATTCGTGATAACAATCACGGGATTATTGGAAGGCACGCGGCTCTACACGCCGAGCTTATCGCGAGATGGGCATGTAAATTAACGAATCTCGTTTTCTCTCTCACGATCTTTCGTCTCTCGCGATAATACCGACGGTGGATCTTCCGTCGGCAGGTTACTATTTACTGCCGTGGTATTTCTTAATTATTACTGTTAAGTGTCACGTGTTATCTCTGGCGCAACCCGAGCGATTAGACGCCAAATTGTGAGTGTTTCGTGTTTCACAGATTTCACGTGATAAAGTTTAACGTTCTGTGATGCATTAGGAATAGGATAACTTGTATACGAATACACGGAAAATTACTACACGATGCGGCAATTAAGGACTGATTATTACTAACGCGCACGCTGAAAGCATTACATCATTCCGTAATTATATAGCGCGTTCAAGTGAAATGATCCATGAGAGGACCCCACAGATATTTTCACTACCATTTGAAATTATTTCGCGCTTATGCTTGGCGCGCTTGCATCACGAGAGCACGCGATACTCCCGAGAGAAAGAGAGAAGCTAGAAAGATATTTTTAACTAATTAATACTTTCGCGTACATTCTGAGATTTGTTATGAGTACGGCATCGACTTATATTTAACTTTATATTTCGGTCTTTATTTTTAACTCTACTACACACAGAAAACTATATATTGCATTTGAGTAAATGTTACTTGTTGCAAGTATTTCGTAAGCTTATATATTCGCAAATTTATCACAAGTTTATCAGTATTAACTTTATTGAAAATATATTCTGAGTTCTAGTAAGTTTAGCACTTTAGTCACAACAATATGAAAAAATTCAGTTTGTTTATTATAAGTGCTTTTTATTTACATAACTTATGTCGACACTTGTGCCAACTCAATTTAGCTCAAGTTAATAACTTCAATATGATAAATGGAAAACGTTTTATGATGCACAAAAGTCGATGTCTAAAATATATATCCAGATTTTATCTTCATATTCTAATGTAATTAATGATGATGGTATTTAATCAACTAAATATTATTATTATTACTATTCTAAGTAAATATCTTATGCAGAAAATTAATGGTTAACATTAAGGTGACCAGATTTCCCAGATTTCCTGAATTCGGAATACTTCATAAATGTGTGAAGTGGAGGGCGGAGGGAGAAGGATAAAAAGATCCGAAAATTATTTGACAATCATTGAAAATGATGACAAATCGGTGTTCCGAATAGCATTCGAAAAACTTCGGGACAAAGAGTGAAAAATCGGGACGTCTGGTCACTCTAGCTGTATGTGTTGAGAAGGGAGGAAATTACTCCGTAATAATGCACTTACGATACATCCTGACGACCGCACGTCGTTGTTTTCGGCACTCTAATACTTATTTCCGCAAGAGACTCACAGGACACAAGCGAAAGACGTATGGAATATGGAGCGTTGTGTCCATGGCATGAGTTGCTCGACGTGAAAAGATCGCAGACGCGCGCGCTGTCAGTCACGTACACCAAAAGTTCATTAGCGCGCCGAAAGTGCCAAAAGTATATGAATGCAAAAACGCGCTAGTGATGCGAACGAGGTCGCGCGTCTACAACGACGCGATCTGTACGGCGCGCCGCGGCGGATGCCTTAACCACTGTTCGAGTTACTACTCTAGACCAAGCGCGTTCGTTTCGCATTACGAGGTTGTCATCATGGTTATTCAATCTAGGCGTTGGTAATGAATTACGCGAAATGCTCGATCTTTTCACGTCAAGCAGCAGCCATGGGCACACATCGATTCACATCGCTCCGCGTTTCTCACGTCTTTTATCCGTCGAAAGTGCGTCTTACGAGTTAATAAGTCTCGGAAGTGTCGAGAATAGCGATGTGCGATCGTCGGGGCGTATCATTTGTAAGTAATCTTCTCGTTTCTCCTCGCGGTATATGCGGCCGGTGCTTGTCGCGATGTGTCGTGCCGACGTCCCTTACATTTGCTAAAAACATCGACTCGCTCAAACAGCAATAGAATCGGGCAATCGTCGGATTTGTTGAACGGGAATTAAAAATTTGCTGACAATCAGAAAGAGAGAGAGAGAGAGAGAGAGAGAGAGAGAGAGAGAGAGAGAGAGAGAGAGAAAGAGAGAGATGCGAAATATTCGGGCGTTTGCGTCAGCTTATTAGGAAAAGAGATACGAAGAGAGAAGTATCTCATAGAGCGCGTTCTTTTCGGCCGCGGCATCGTTCATATATTGATGTATATTTCAGCACAATTCAACAATCGCGCGACCATCTTGATTCTCGGTTTTTCTGCATCGAGCAACCGCCATAGATCCATATCGCTCCGCGTTTCTCGCGTCTTTTATCCATCAAAAGTGAGTCTCGCGTGTTAATAAATCTCGGGAGTTTCGAGAATAACGATGTGCGGTCGTCACACGTTATTTGTAAGTAATCTTCTCGTTTCTCTTCACGATATATATATATATATACATATATATATATATATATATATATATATATATATATATATATATATATATATATATATATATAT